GTTACAAGAGAGTACCAAAACATAAAAAAGAAGGAGGGGAGATAAGGACGATAGATGTTTAATAGGAAAGAAGAAACGAACAACACCAGAGCGCCTCCAACCACCCACCAACTACATTTATTTTTAAGCATAAAAGTGTAAACAAGAACCCTCGAAATTGCTTATGTGTCAAAACAAAAGAAATGCAATATGTTAAACAGTTCGGGTGAAAATAATGAGTGTCAACATGGAAAATGTCCCGTTTGATAGGGAATGTTTTCCTTCACGTGTCATTGCTACTGGCATAAACATTAACTTTGAAACAGATTAAACACAAACACATACAAATACACTCACAATTGCATACGCACGCACGCACGCACGCACGCACGCACGCACGCACGCACACACACACACACACACACACACACACACACACACAACAAACAGACATACATACACAAACAGTTTTTTGTGCTCTCAGCCTTCATTGGTCAGAAAATAACATTTTGAACTGTGGGTGTTTTTACACCCCCCCCCCCCTAATCGTCACAAGTTAGATTATTTAGGAGGCGGGCTTTGATCCTGACTGCCAAGGTCAATCCGGGCTGAGAGGGATACAACACCCCAGTTCAAAGACCGAGATGCTCCTTAAAAATTATCCCAACAAATGAAATCGAACTCAGGTCAGGTCTGTGTGCGAAAGCGAAATACATGTAAAATCATATTACCACGTATCTACCAGCTGTAGGGTGTAGCCATTAGGAGCTTCCCCGTCTCACACGAGAGACACAATATAGACCATTTAGGAGGCGGGCTTCGACATTTAGTACATGTAAACGTTTTACGGCACTTCCAACATAATAATGGTCATTTAGCGCTGAGAAAAAGTCAGACAAACAGACAGAAACAGCAGAATGAAGTAAAGTAAAGAAGTAGGGCCGACTATATAAGCACCCTCCAGCTATTCGCTATAATATTATTTATTATTATTCTATGATATTTATAAAAGATGGAGCCTTACAAAATGGACCCTTGGAGAGAAAAACAGTAACAAACATACTATCTGTAGCCCACGATGACTATGGTGTTTTCCCCTTCCATTCTTTGTCGAACTGAATAATGGAGTATCACCCCATTGTAACAAGTAACACAGATAATAGAGAAACAAATAAAAAAGACTGACAGACAAACAGACTCATAATAATCTGAAAGACAAACATATAAACCGATAGACAGATAGATAAACAGACATACAAGCAGAAAAGCTGACTGACAGACAGACAGACAGACAGACAGACAGACAGACTGACAGACGGATAGACAGACAGACGGACAAACAAACAAGCAAAGAAAGAGATAGACAGAGAGACTGACACCCTGAGAGCCAGCCAACTAGATACACACACACAC